TCACAAGCATTTTGACTGATCTGTTTGATAGTTAAATGAACGAATACATTGCTGAATGTACAATGAAGGTGCCTGGTATAAGATACTGAGACAAATGTGGAATAATCCAAAATTCAACAGAGAAAATCTACAGTGGTGGCCAAAATTGTGGAAATTTTTTGGGAAAAGTGTGTTTTTGAGATTTGATGGCTAATAACACCGCCTTATCTAGGAGTTTCAAGATAATCCTATTCCACTGCTGGAATGGCCTGGGAATAGCCCAGACCTTCACCCAGTTGAAAATCTATGGAGCCGACTAAAGAAACTTGTTAGTCAGAAGTGACCCAGCAATAAAACCCAGTTAATAGAAGCCATCATTCCATCTTGGTTTCACATGAGAACAGCTGCAGAACTCAAAGACTTGGTTCACTCCATGGGAAGATGTTGTAAGGCCGTAATTCATGCTAAAGGTTACCCAACGAAGTATTAACTGACATGGTGATTTTTTTGGAATATCTTGTTTTTTCTACGTGTTCCACTTTTCTTCTTTCTACTGTAACTGCTATTCTAATAGCAAATCCTTCATAAACGTTATTGCATTACGTTCTTGATTAAATGATCTTTCCATTGATATATAGTTTTATGGTACTAGTCAGTGGTGAAATCCAATTTTTTTTACTACCAGGTCTGTGGGCGTGGCTTGGTGGGCGTAGCTTGCTCGACGTAGCAAGGGAAGGATACCGCAAAATCTCTATTCCCACGCCACTCCAGGGGAAGGATATTGCAAAATCTCCATTCCCACCCCACTCTGGGGCCAGCCAAAGGTGGTATTTGCCGGTTCTCCAAACTACTCAAAATTTCCACTACCGGTTCTCCAGAACCTGCTGGATTTCACCCCTGGTACTACTCCCCAAAAAAGTGATGTTATTAGCTAGTTTTAGAAAATACACTTTTCCCAAAAGGTTTCCACAATTTTGGCCACTACTGTATATGGAGTGTCTTGAGCAGTGATTCTATTTCCGACGGTGTTTCTCCATACAGCTTTAGATCGTCCAGATAAAGGAAGTGGGTTTTTTTTTTTTTATGTTGGCTTGATAGCAATGGTCTTCCGTATCGTTGACAGAAGAATCAATGAAATGACAAACTGTTGTGGGGATAGTGAGCCTCCTTGAAAGATTTTTCTCTTGATATTAACTTTTCCTAGTCTATCACCATTGATCAGCAACTGTGTCTTCCATTGCGCCATTGATCTTTCCACAAAGATCTGATGTTTCTACTGACGCTGTTATTTCTAGAGCCTTGATTAACTGATTAAATGAGAGGGACTCGAATTTCCTCTTGCGATCAATCCAGGGGTGATATCTACTTACCTTCCCAACCAGTTTGGAAGTATGTATGTGCGTCAATGGCACGCCTAGACCCTCTGCGCATGTGCAAACCCTTCTGCGCATGTGCAGAGGGCAAAAAACAAGTTACTTCCTGGTTAAAACCAGGAAGTAATGACGACTGGGCTGGTGGGCGGAGCCTCGTGCCGCCATCGCTACCAGTTCATCCAACTGGTCCGAACCGGGAGCATTTCACCCCTGAATCAATCGAAGCTACATTCAAGTTTAATCAATTCAAGATTATTATTATTATTGTGTGTGCATAATCTAGAGTTAGATTCACAGTCTTAAGAGTGGGGGAGATTTAATAATTCAAGTCTTGATCAAAGATCTAAGAATTATTAAGGTAGCATCGAAGAATGTGAACACTTCCAGGCAGGGTGAGTTTTTTTAAAAAAATAAGGTTTTATTTATTTATTACTAGCTGATAACCTGGCTTTGCCTGGGTATTTATTTATCCCAATCCTGTATTAAACAGGAAGAGCAACTTCACCCTGAGGCCTGATTTCGGTGAGAATTAAATTAGTTAAAAATGTTTTCCCTGTGGCTCCAGAAGTGTCAAGTAAAATGATACCACCTTGTTGTTTGGCTAGCTGATACATGGTCACGTGGTATGCTTTTTTCTGATCTTGATTTAGAAGTGGCTTCTTGTCCATGAGAATATGCACTAAGCTGTTCTATATTTATCCTCAAGAATAATCAAAGCCTTGTTGAAAATGTCCGGACCAAACATAATTTCTAATGTTGGATTTCCCCCCTTACCAGAGTGAGCCCCCTTGTGGAGTACTGTGAAGCTGTTACCATGGCAACTCCACTGTGCTGCACAGTAGAAGCCACTTTAAGGCAGTACAGTAGAAGCCATTTTAAGGCACAACAGGCTGTATCTTAACAGAACACACACACCCCGAGGATGTGTTAGGGGAGTCTTACCCCCTCAGTATTTCTTCCCAGAGAGTAAGTCATCTGTGTACCAAGTTTGGTTGAAATTGCTCGAGGTGTTCCAGAGTTATGCTGGAACATACACACACACACACACAGAGAGAGAGAGAGAGAGGGAGAGAGAGAGCCATGTTTATATTTATATATATTATAAATAATAATAATAATAATAATAATAATAATAATAATAATAATGATACATTTTAAAATGTTCAGTTGACTGAGTTTCATGTCTAATGAATAAAAGAGATAATAATGAAATGAAATTATATATATATTGTCTGGAGTACTTCACAACGAAGAGGCATTAATACAGACAAGGATGGTGAACATCTAAGAAGGGGCTCTCCCTAGTTTCTTGCACTGTAAAAGGAGTGGGGAAAAAGATGTACTTTCCGACTTGCAAAATGCTGTTAATGTAAACTTAAAATAAAGTTAAGTAAGTGCTCCTAGATTTGCTTCCAATCTGGACTACCTTGCAAGATTGACACACAAACAAAGAAGCATTAATATAGTCAATGGGATGGAGATTGGCAGCTGCCTACTTAGGAAACAGTTTATAATGAAACCTATTTCTTCACTTTTCGGAAATGCAGCAGTGAATGCCGGCAGTCACATGTTGATAACTGTCAACATTTACTCCTAAAATCTTCTCAGTTTCTCGACATTTGCAAAATTAATCTGGGATTGTCACCAAATTTCAGACATTCATTGCAACATATGCTAAGCTGATAATGGCTGCATAGCCATCTGTTGACACAATAGGGAAATATAATATGATGTTGCACGCTATGGACATAATCCAAGCAACATGAAACCCCATAGATACCCCCCACAGAGAGAACTGTGCATATGGTTATCCTTATTTTTTTTTAACAATCATTTTTAGGAAACATTGCAATTAAAAAGATTTTAAAAAATGCAAATAAAAAAAAATAAAGGACCAAAAAAAGAAAAAAGTGCAAAAAAGAAAAATAGAAAGAAAATATTAAATAAAATAAGAATATAGTAAAGGAAAAAAAGAAATATGTAAAGTTTATACACATACACAGAGAGAGATACAGATATATTTATATTTGTTTATACATCCTTGTGTATAAACAAGTATAAACAATCTTAAAAACTTATGCTCCTTCCATTAAAATAGAACAAATGAACTTCCCATATCTCATCTATAAATGAATCCTTAAAGCCTTGTTGTCATTCTGCCCTAACCAGCAAAGGTCCATTAAGAGTTACCAGAGATAACAATATATCTATTTTAAACTTGATCAAATAAATCAACTTTATATTCCTTCTTTCCTTTTTTTCTCAATAAAGAACAATCTTGATCTTTAATCCTTTAAAATTATGTCTTAAAATTAAAAGAGTGTTTGGTATCTGCTCAGCTGAGGTGCGGCAATCCACTCTGCCGCATCTATCAGCTGGGCTAAAAAAGAAGAAATAAAGGTAGGAATAATACGGAGGCGGGTGGGAGGGCCCAGCTCCCAGACAAAGAGAACCGATTCGGTGACGTCACATCGTCACCGCTACCGGCTCGGCTGAACCGGGCCGAACCGGGAGGAACCCACCACTGCTACCACCTGCATCACACAAGCCGGCTAGATTTAGCTGGATTTCACCACTGATCTACCTCCTTTAGGCAGAGCCATAGTAGGAATTGCCCAAAGCCCTTTCATTACATCATCACCCAGCAAGAGTCAACCAAGCCTGGGACTCAAAGGACAACCTACAAAGTTACCCCTGCATGGCCCCATGGAAGTCTGATAATCAATCAGAACACAAGTTCAAATTCAAAGCCCAACAGAGGGCATAAAACCCAGGCAACTCTCAGCATTTTTTCCCTTTTTTTGCCCAGGACCTCAAACCATGTGATAAGTGGTGAAATCTAAAATTTGTTACTACCGGTTCTGTGGGCGTGGCTTGTTGGGGGGGAATGTGACTGGGTGGGCGTGGCCAATTTTTTTTTACTTTTAAAACCATTTTTTACATGTAAAACCATGTTAAAAAAATGCTTTCAAAAGGCTCTGACGATCCCAGCTGAGTTGCCTGATCATCAGAGGGTTTTTAAAAAAACCCTCTGCTGATCAGGCAACTCAGCTGGGACCATCAGAGCTTGGATCGTCGGAGCCATTTAAAAGAAAAAAACTTTTCTTTTAAATGGCTCTGACGATCCCAGCTGAGTTGCCTGATCGGCAGGCATCTCAGCTGGGATCGTCAGAGCTTAGATCGTCAGAGCCATTTAAAGGAAAAAAAGCCTCTGATGATTGCACAGCTCAGCTGGGCATGGAGGGCGCGGGCAGGGATTTTTGCTACCAGTTCTCCGAACTGCTTGCCGCCATTGCTACCTACTCGCCCGAACCGGTCCAAACCGGGAGCATTTCACCTCTGCATGTGATCCTGTTCACCAATAAATCTTCTTTCCAAGCAATTTCCATGAATCCAGTGTCTTTTTCCCCACTTGGAACTGAACCCAGAAGGACATTTCTTCCAGCACTATGGAAGGTGGCAAATTGCAAAAACGATCTTCCATGAGAGTTTGGGAAATCAGACCTAGAAAGTTTCTGTGGGAGCTTCTATAAGAGAGGATGGTTTCAGGGCAATAGTACTAAACAGCCTGTTAGAGTTAAATGCAGCTATCAAGTCTGCTGGTTCTCATAAGATGGTGTAGTTCATCCTGTTATGTTCTGTCCACAGGTCTGAAGCGGACATATACTTGCAACATCTGTAACGTCACTCTAAACTCAATAGAACAGTATCACGCACACTTGAAGGGCTCAAAACATCAGAACAAGTAAGTCTGACTCTGTTAGCTATGGTTGAGTGAACAGGACATACAGTGGTGGCCAAAATTGTGGAAACCTTTTGGGAAAAGTGTATTTTGGGGGATTGATGGCTAATAACACCACTTGTTTTTGAAGTTTCAAGATAATCACATTCCACTGCTGGAATGGCCTGGGAATAGCCCAGACCTTTACCCCATTGAAAATCGATGGAGCCGACTGAAGAAACTTGTTAGTCAGAAGCAACCCAGCAATAAAACCCAGTTAATAGAAACCATCTTTCAATCTTGGTTTCACATGATAAGAGCTGCAGAACTCAAAGACTTGGTTCGCTTCATGGGAAGATGTTGTAAGGCCATCATTCATGCTAAAGGTTACCCAACGAAGTATTAACTGACGTGGTGATCATTTTTGTATATCTCGTGTTTTCTACGTGTTTCCCTCTTCTTATTTCTACTGTAACTGTTATTCTAATAGCAAATCCTTCATAAAAGTTATTGTATTACATTCTTGATTAAATTATCTTACCATTGATATATAATGTTATGGTACTACTCAAAAAAAAAAAAGTGGTGTTATTAGCTAGTTTTAGAAAATACACTTTTCCCAAAAGGTTTCCACAATTTTCCACAACAGGGTTATTTCCCCCTTCCCGTTATAATTAACCTGAATTTCTGAAGATTGGGTGCAAGCAAAAATGTAAAAAAAGAAATTAAATAAAGAGATTAGCAATGAAAAAGGAGTTTAGCTCAAACTCCCAATCTTTGGGAGCTGATGTGGTGGATTGTGTGTACAAAGGTAGGAGTACATTTCAAAGAGGATGACAAGACAAGTGGCAGCCCAATCACAGCTGGTTTGGGAAAAAACATAGCCACTCCCGAGAATCTCCCACAATATATCTGTTAAGGGTTTACTAGTATAGGTTTACTTGGCAAAATTCTGTCTGTATGGTGTGAGCCAGAGGTGGGTTTCAGCAGGTTCTGACCAGTTCTGGAGAACCGGTAGTAAAAATTCTGACTGGCCCCACCCCCATCTATTCTCTGCCTCCCGAGTCCCAGCTGATCGGGAGGAAATGGGGATTTTGCAGTAACCTTCCCCTGGATTGGGGAGGGAATGGAGATTTTACAGTATCCTTCCCTTGCCACGCCCACCAAGCCATCCATGCCCACCAAGCCACACCCACAGAACAGGTAGTAAAAATTTTTGAAACCCACCACTGGTGTGAGTTAGAGGTGGTATTCAGCTGGTTCGCCCCGGTTTGCCCCGGTTCACCCAAATCGGTAGCGGAAATCACAGATTTAGGTACATTTTTGAGGCCTGGCACATGTGAACCAATAGAGAATTTTGCAAACCGGTAGGGAAAGTAAGTGAATACCATCCCTGGTGCGAGCAAATAAAGAATTGAACCATCCGACTGTTCGGCGTTGTTCTTGGGCTAAGACTGACAGCTGGCATACGTGTAAAAAACCATGCATGTGGAATTGCCATATATTCAGAAAGTAGAACGAAGGGGAATGAAGGCCAGCGGGAGGCTGTCAAAATTGGGAAGATAGAAACCGGACGGGAGATTGCGATGCAGTATCTATGCATTTATAAATTGTTTATGGGTGAGAGAGATACGCAGAGAGAAAGATTAAAGGGAAGCCCTTCAGTGCATGATGAATAGCACGTATTTTCGGGGAACAAAAGAAGAGTTTAACTTTGCTTTGCCAATTTAAATCTGCCTCTCATCTTTGGCAACAGCTCTTATAGTCTTTGTCTATTCTGTTATTCGGGTCTGTGTGCCGAAGTGTGAATTTATGAAAAAGCGATACGACGATGTTTTGTTTTGTTTTTAAATTTTGGTTGCATTCCCTTTTTTACATCCTAAGAAATATTCCCTTATCGCTACAAAATGGTGCCATGGTAAAAAGCCTCTCTCCAGCATTTGTCCTTATTTATGGTGGGGGAAGAGACGCGGTGGCTCAGTGGCTAAGACGCTGAGCTTGTCGATCGAAAGGTCGGCAGTTCAGCGGTTCAAATCCCTAGTGCCGCTTAATGGGGTGAGCGCCCATTGCTTCTCCCAGCTTCTGCCAACCTAGCAGTTCGAAAGCCCGTAAAAAAAAATGCAAGTAGAAAAATAGGGACCACCTTTGGTGGGAAGGGAACAGCGTTCTGTGCGCCTTTGGCGTTGAGTCATGCCGGCCACATGACCACGGAGACGTCTTCGGACAGCGCTGGCTCTTGGGCTTTGCAACGGAGATGAGCACCGCCCCCTAGAGTCAGGAACGGCTAGCACGTATGTGCGAGGGGAACCTTTACCTTTATGGTGGGGGAAGGGTAATGATTCTAGTGAATTCAGCTTTTATGAGCTATTCAATGAAAATCAGTGTGAGGGCACACCATCCCATTCACACTCACACATACAACGTATTATTTTGTTATTTGGAAAAGAAATACAGGTGCATTCTACCGTGTTGCAGGTAAAGGGGTTGGGGAAAATTCCAAAATGGCTCCCGGCTTGTTTTCCCCTGTGTTATTTTTCATCCAAAAATAAACTCTGTCAATGTAATAGCTTCTACTTTTCTTGCAATTTCCTCTGCACAACTCGTTACTCTTCAAGGCCACAGCCAATATGTTTCCACTGAGGTGTTGTTGTTTTTTAATTGTTCATATTCTTCAGAAATGCAAATCGTTTTGCTGTATACCTTCTTGTACTTTTTGTGTTAAAGACACAAAGCTTACTTTATTAAGGAGAAGTTGGCCTTCCCTCTAGAGGGATTTTTAATGGAGCTAGCCTAGTTTAAATTGAATTGCTGGTGGCACACGTGGGCAAGATGAACTCTAAGATACACTCAAAATTGTACACTCCTAATACACTGTATTATGGTTGCCGAATGGATTGACTGAATTCAGCAGAACAAACTACTCTTGATCTGAGGCAAAAGGTTCCTTGGAGTGCTAATCGAATGGAATAAATTTAAATCTCTGAATGATGCGCGTAGCTATCTAGATGAAAGGTCACATAACTGCTGTCCAAGCAAATTCATATTTGAATACATTCAGAGCATTTGTCTACTTCTAATTCATGTTTAGGAATAAATTGGAGATTTTATTTACAGTGGTACCTCAGCACTCATCGTCAATTGGTTCCAGGAGGCACGATGAGTATCAAAAATGATGCGTGCCAAACAATTTTTTTCCAATAAGGAATAATGTAGGCGGCACCGACAAGTTCTAGCTTGTGCGTTGAGTACCCAAACAAAGGACGAGTATCGGGACAAAATTTTCACATCAAAATGCGCTGAGTACCAAATTTGATGAGTTTCAAAGCAGTTGAGTACCAAGGTACCACTGTAGATAAAAAAATGGACTTGTCATGTCCCATAGACTTGGAATGAGAAATCAGGAAGAATTCTCTAGAAAGATGTGGCCAGAAACAGGGGTGAAATTCAAATTTTTTCCCTAGCGGTTCTGTGGGCGTGGCTTGGTGGGCGTGGCAGGGGAAGGATACTGCAAAATCCCCATTCCCACCCCACTCCAGGGGAAGAATACTGCAAAATCCCCATTCCCTCCCCACTCCTGGGGGAAGGATATTGCAAAATGTCCATTCCAATCCCACTCTGGGGCCAGCCAGAGGTGGTATTTGCCTTTTCTCTGAACTACTCAAAATTTCCACTACTGGTTCTCCAGAACCTGTCAGAACCTGCTGGATTTCACCCCTGGTCAGAAGCACATAATACAGATCTACTACAGTCAGTTTGTTTAGCAAGAGAATTAAATTTACTGTCTTAAGAAAATGTTGTACCTTGTAGAGCATGTTAGGCAAATTAAATATATTCCATACAGTCAAAATGTAAGCTCAATATAACGAATATATTTAATTTAATAATTTTAATTATTTTTAAATTTTGTCTGTCTTTGTGTTTTTAATTAGACTGTACACCACCCTGAGTCCTTCGGGAGAAGGGCGGTATAGAAATAAAATTAATAAATAAATAATAAATAAAATAAATAGGTAGCAGTGAACCCAAGGAGCTATCAAAAAAAGAGAAGAGACATTGAAGGACAAAAGAAATCCCAAAATTTCAAAGAAAAGATTCAGCAGACTTTCAGAACAAGCTATTTCTGATAGCAATAGCAAAAGGCAGGAGACGAAGGGTCTGTGATGAATGAAAATAGATTTAGAGTGTCAAGCATGAAAAGATAGGCAATGATATCTCAGTCAAGAATCTTGAGAAATAGAGAGGGAATCTTAACCAGTCAGCAAGGAAAAGAAAAGATGAGAAAATGTTCAAGAAATTGAAAGGAATCCCAGGAAAATGTACAGATAGCAATATTCGAAAGTAATCACAGGTGGGAACTGATGAGTTCTTAAAGAAAGATGGAAAAACCCCATACTTAAACCTTTTTTTACAAATGGAGTTATTGTCAAGTTTCCGAAAGATGCCCTAATTAATTCATGAGCCATGATCCAAACTTCAAAGGAAATATTTGAAGAAATATTCATTTATTAGGAGCAACATTCCAGCAATATTCGGATGCAGTTAGGACTGATTCTACGTAGATTTACGTTCCCCTATGACCCTGTCTCTCCCCTCCTCTCTGGCCATGTCATAAATCACATTCTCCAATTAACCACTTTGGCTGGCTGTGAAACCTAACACCCTCCTTCTGATTGCGGTCAGAAAGAATGTATGGAATTCACTTCAGTTCTCCCTCCCTCCTGCTCATGGCAACTTGAAAGCTTTGCAAGTTGACAGTTACACAATGATTAAAAATAGAATTAAAGAGATTATTGAAATGGAAGAACATTCTCTGCATGGTGCCTGCCCTTTAAAATGATATTCCGCCAGAGATATGAATGGCTGTCCCTGATTATGTTCATGAAGCTGTTAAAGATCCTTGGTGTGGCACCTATTACAGAGAAGATGAGAAGGTTGGCTCTTCTGGTAAAGGACATGTCCAGAGAGCAGCATCTTCCACCAATGCCAAGACAGCCTACCGACTAGAAGTCAATGGCTTCTAGTCA